CAAGGTGCACTTTTTTCTTTTTTTTTTTTCACTATTATTTATTTACTTATTCTTAATTTTTATTTTTCCAAAGATATGGATAGTTATTTAGTGATTTCACACAGACAATTCGTGCCTACCGGTTGTTTTTTTACCGTTGGATCAAAACACATCCATGTGGGTGTGTGCGTGAGTGTGTGTGATTCAACGGTAGGATCGAATCTTTCCTTTCTACACATAAATATCTGTGCTTTGGTTGTGGGTTTTGCAGTGGATGGCTGATATCTGGATACTGAATTGTATTTAATGAATGTAAGGTATTCATGTGAAAATCATTAGTTGGTGGACTTTTGAAGTTGATAAATTTGGACTATTATTGATGACCAAGAGGAGTTAGGTCACATGTGATGATTATAGACTATACAGCAGGGAACTTTGGGTTCTCATTGTTTAATCCTTTATGTAGCATGCTGCTCGGAATTGTTTTTCACGACAAGCTGATATGAGAAAAGTGCAAAATTCGTTTATTCTGTATTTTTTTGCAAAATTTGCGTTATTTATTGGCTTTGAAAAGTAACCTTTTGAAATTTGTAGCATTGAATTTTCAGAATCCGGGAAAATCTTGTCCGTGTAATGAGAATTATGAGATAGCTCCTGCATTGTTCTACAGTCTCATCTGTTGGTTAATAATGAGCTGATATGAGAAAATTGCAAAAGCTGTTCATGGTATTTTCTACAAATTTTGCGCGTTCTTGATTTATTCGGTGAGCTTCGAAAAGCAATCTTTTGATATTTGTGGCATTGAATTGTCACGATCTGGAAAAATCTTATTCGTGTAATGAGTTAGCTCCGGTGTTGTTATATACAGTCACTTCTCTTGGTTGAAGACTTGGATTTTACATGATATTTCGGCCCTTTTCTTTTTCTTAAATTCTTTTTTGGCATAAATCTTTGTTTTTTAGGTTTATTCACTCGATTGGACTCCCGAAAAGAATCGAGTCGTAAGTGCATCTCAAGACGGTAGATTAATCGTATGGAATGCTCTCACAAGCCAGAAAACTCATGCAATTAAGCTTCCATGTGCATGGGTGATGGCATGCGCTTTCTCTCCGAGTGGCCTATCAGTTGCCTGTGGTGGCCTTGATAGCATGTGCTCGATTTTTAACCTCAACTCTCAAACTGACAAAGATGGGAATTTGCCGGTATCAAGAATGCTAAGTGGGCATAAAGGTTATGTTTCGTCGTGTCAATATGTTCCGGATGAAGATACGCACTTAATAACTGCTTCTGGTGACCATACGTGTGTTCTGTGGGATATAACGACTGGTCTTCGGACGTCCGTTTTTGGAGGCGAGTTTCAGTCGGGTCATACTGCTGATGTTTTAAGGTATTTTTTTGGCCATTTTTCTCTAGTGTACACTTAGGGTGTGATTGGATATGGATTTGATTGGTTTTTTATTGTTTTTTTTTTAATATAGTTAATTTTGTATGGTTAGTTGTTAGTGGGAATTTAAGTTCAAATTAAAATATTTTTTAAAATAAAATAATTAAAGTTGATTTGATGTAAAAGTAGGAGAAAAATAATCGGAAGTGATGGTTAGTTAAAATTGTGTGAGTAGATGAATAATGAATTAAAGTTAATGTAATGTGTAAGAATGATTGAGTGGTATTATGTTTCTATCTTAAAAATTGCACCCTAAGTAGAGGATTATGTTTTAGTACAAATGTGAAGCTTAAAAAGGACTGTCTGTAAATTTAAACTTTTTTCATTGCTTTTTTTTTTGGTCAGTGTCTCGATTAATGGATCCAACTCGAGAATGTTTGTTTCTGGCTCGTGCGACTCGACTGCCCGTTTGTGGGACACTCGAGTTGCGAGTCGTGCAGTTCGTACTTTCCACGGTCACGAGGGAGATGTTAATACGGTAAAGTTTTTCCCGGATGGGAATAGATTCGGTACCGGTTCGGATGATGGGACGTGCAAGCTATTCGACATTCGAACGGGACACCAGCTACAAGAGTACAATCAACCGAATAATGATAGTGAGGCCCAACACGTGACTTCCATTGCATTTTCAATCTCTGGCCGGCTTTTATTTGCCGCGTACACTAATGGACGTTGCTATGTGTGGGACACGTTATTGGCGCAGGCATGTAGTCTTCTTATTTATTTATTTTTTTAAAATAATTTATCATTTATATATATGCGTGTGTATATATATATTTAATTTTATTTGTGTTTTTTGAATTGCTGGCTCAAATCCATGTTGCATCTCGATTGATCAGGTGGTGTTGGATTTGGGATCTCTTCAAAATTCTCATAATAGTCGGATTAGCTGCCTTGGACTGTCTGCTGATGGCAGTGCCTTGTGTACAGGAAGCTGGGATTCGAACCTCAAGGTGGTTCACGTTTTGGATATATATATGTATATGTATATATGTATATATTTATATAACAAAGGAAGATATATATTTTAGAAAATGAGAAAAAAAAAA